TACATTTGAGTGAAATTTTGCTCTCATGTCCATGATAGTTATTTTCCTGTTACTTTTGTTCCCTCTGTCATATAATTCATGTCAGTTAGGTTTCAGATACACTGGAATGGAGATTGAAGTTTGTAATTACTTGTTTGAGATTCTGAGTACATATCTAAAAATGATAAAAAAAAAACCACGGCAAAATGATTATAAACCCAAACTAAAAAGTGGAGACTGGATTTCTTTTTAAGGCAGGCTAGTAGAAAGTAAGAGGCCTGAGTCCAAATCCCAGCATTATCTCAGATTTACTGGGTGACCTTGGATAGGTCAACAGGGCCCTGAGTTAGCACAAAGGGCTGTAGACCTTCCTTTTGGTGGTAATGCCATCCTGAAGAGGAGTGGGATTACTCACAGATGTGCTTAGGGGTTTTGATGAACAACGGCCTTAATCTCTCTGTGCATTAGCTCCTTGCCCACACCAACATGTATGGCACTGCTTCTTCCCAGTCCCACCCATTTGTTTAGGTTTCAACCTTTTAATGGCCTGTGCTGTCTTTGTGAACACGCTGGAACTGTACTCAGGGTCATAGTCTCTATACACTCTTGTGATTAAAAAATACCTTAAGACCTAGATAAACAGGTTACCACGTAGTAGTAGTGTAAGTAGTGAATATAGAGCTTTCTCCATTATGATAACCACATCTGTGCATGTCCTAGTTTCCTAAATAATATATGATAGCTCTCACTGAAATACTATATATGAGCAATTATTTCATTAAAGTTTTTAATATGCCTAAAACTAAAGTTACAATATAAAAACACGCATACTGATAGCTTATGAAGTATATCAACTTAGAATTTATAGGAATTTTTTCTTCTTTCAATCTTCATTATTGACTAATAGGTTGGTGATATCTTATTTGGGAGCATTAAAGTCAGGGATACTTACAAAAATATGTGAAGTACAGCCACTCAGAAAATTTTTTGATGAAACCTTTCTTTTGAAAATTTCAATTTGTCAAATCTGTAACTTTTTCAAGGGAAAGGCTTGGTTTAGATTAATTGCTCAGTGACGTTCTCTTACTTTTGTTTGCAAATTGTTGACGACTCCTTGTTTTGATTACTAAAAAATGAAAAAATAATTTTTCTGATCTGAAATTTTTCTTTTATTTTCAAATTTAAGTTACTTTATACAAAACAAAGTAATCAAAATCAATGGTAACAAAATAAAATAACTTGACTGGCCTAAACCTTTATTTCTCCCATTTTGTTTGTCAATGTTTCTGGAAATTAATTTCAGATGCTGATTTAAGGTGCAGAGATTATTTTGGAGGTGTTTTTAGTTCAAAACTTTTTTCCAACAAATCACCTAAGGATACTAGGGAAGCTAAGCACTTCCAGTAGAATTTCTTCACTAGGAACTGGAGATACACCCACAAGTAAGAAGTACAAGTTCATTTGCTGTACTAACCTAATCCTAGGTTAGCATCACTGTTAGAAAAGAAAGATACTGCTGAGAAAGATAAGGAAACAAGGGTGATAAGTCTCAAGAACGATATCTGAGTGGCACCAGTGATGGAGAGCATGAAAGGAACTAGATCTATCTTATGTGTCTCTGCCCAAACACGAACCTTAGGTGTGCCTGTGTGTATGAATTTCTATCCTTAAGAGTGAAGAATGAGATCTATTTGGGCCCATTGGGAAAATATAATTGAGGAAGTCACTACACCAACATCAGAATAACAATAAATTTTCTTGCCCAAAGTTTTGAATTTGTTTACCATGACATGAGTATAATACTTCTTAAAGCAGATAAGAATCAAGTTTGTCAGGTTTCAGATACTGTACAGAACTTAACTGCAGGATTAAAAGTCTCTCATCTTCAATATTAATGACCTACTGAAAAGGGGTCAACTTGGAACTCTTGTTTACTGATTAAGCAGCACCTGACTTAGCTTTTAGCTAAATTAATACAAAGAATGTCCATCTTTTCCTGTTGGCTTATATCTACACTTTACATCATATTTCATACCATATGCTGTAGCTATATTCTCTTTAACATACTCTTTTTGAACACTGTTGTAGTATGCATATGCTTGAGTAATTTACTGACAAAATCAGCTGCTGATTTACTGGTGGGGAAAAAGAGTGCTACATGAGTTTTTGTTTCTCCCCATTGCCCTGACTCAATTACAGTCTGGTGCTATGAAATATTATAGCATCTGCTTTGCAGCTGCATTTCACATCTCCCATTTCCATTCCATAAGGGCTGCAGTGTGCAGCAGTCAAGTGTTGTACCACCACTTTGTACCTAATTCAGGTAGGACAGTAAGGTATGCTTAAGTCCCAATGTCTTCTTCTGGGGTGCTCAAGTAACAGAACTTCATGTTTGTCACTAAAAATACCTGTATTTTAGGCACTGGTCTGATTCACAGCATATTGAGAGTAATGTCTCTACTTTGTCCTTGGGCAGACTCAAACTAAAACAGAACTAAAAAAATTCCTGGCTAAAAGCATTTCAGTGCCTGAACCCAGGAACCCTCAAGCCCACACACGAAGCTCTGTTAAGCTAAGCAAGCAACTACACCAGATGGTAGTTAGAATAAACTGCTCTTCCGTGCGTGGACTCCCCAGAACACAGGAATGAGAAAGAGGGTTAAAACCCCCTATCTTACCAGCACGTTATGAAGGCGGAAGATTAACATACAACATTTTCCAATGACTTGCTGGATATGCCTACACTGTTCTTAAAAGGTAGCCCCAAGAGAAACACTGGAGTGCCTGCAGACAGCTTACAAAGCTGCCTCATTCAGCCACCCGCCTGCTGAGGCATGTAATGCTGATGGACAGCTGAGCGAGCTGTGGCAAGGGCAGTGCTACCACAGGTGCTATCGCATGGGTCATCAACACTGTCCTGAGCATCACTGGGGACAGACTAGAATAGGTGATATACCCTCCCATTCCCTGTAAAAATGTTCATTTATGGAATCAGCTACATAAAGCAAAGCGAGGCTGCAGCAATACTTTTAGTCCCTGGAAGTGCATTTATTGTGAGAAGGGAATAATGCTTCAGACACAGAACATCTGAGAAAATGATTCTTGATTTCTTTGGATCAATTTGGCCTTGAAATGAAATTGTTCCTTATTTGACTGGCAGGATAACTGTAAGGAGATCTCTGCAGAGTTCTCAGTGCTTTTGGTGTCAGCTGACACCATGTGATTTTCAAAAACACTGGCAATTGTTTTAATGGAGGAAGTGAACAAGTGAACTGAAATGACAACTCTATTATAAGAGTCTGAGTGAAAGTAGTGCCATTCTTTGCTAGCTCACAGTCATTTAATTCCTGGAGGAAGAGGTAGTAAGCTTTTCTCTGTGTTGAACAGTGTGCTCCTTATATTGACTGATGAATTTGTACACAATGCCGTAGCCTTCACAAGCTCATCCGAACAGTGCTGGTCTCCTAGATCTGTGGCTAGAGTGGTTCTTCTAAAACACGAAGTGAGCATGAAAAACTGAAAGATCATGGTTTCAAGCAAGACAGAGTCCATTAGATGTTTTGTTTGTATATGTGCTTGTGTTGTCTAGAAATTCAGGACAATATCTACTTTAGAAGGTCTTGCATTAACTGTCCTGATAGTGGTAGGAAGCAATATTAAAAAAAAACCCCAAATATTAAATCACTATTTACTGAAAATTAATCTTTTGTCAAGTTACTGATTTGTTCTGTGTTGTTATTTTTGTGCAGATTAACTGTTTTCTGTGCTCTGTTTAAGTGATAACAGATTTCTTACCTTATTCTTCTCTAAAATGTATTTGTATTATTTCATGGATGCTGCCAGCTGTACATTGTATATTAACTCTTGCATACAGCACTGCATGTAGAACTGTGTAAGCCAGTGTCTGCATATGGAGACCACAGCAACCTGTGTGGTTCTGCAATGGTTTGAACTCTTGTTCTTATGAAGAGTGCATATTGCTCTGTAAATAAACTAACATGACGGATTCTAAAAGAGCTCACTGGTGGTACAGCAATGAGTCAGTGAGTTTAGGGTAAGAAGTTTCTGTTTAGATTTATACAGAATAGGATGGCTTTGAATCACAAAGAAGACTGGATTCTGAAATAACAAATAATCTATTTCTACATGTTTAATGGACGATAACTGAAATGGAAGTGCATTGACTTGAAAGTAGATCCAACCTCACAGTTAAATCAGCTTGCCCAGGGTTCAGTTTGGGGGTTGGTCTTGCTTTGACCAGGGAGTTGGACTGGGTGATCTCCATCCAGATGTCCCTCCCAGCCTACACAATTCTATGATATAAATAGGAAGCAGAAGTAAGACAGTTCAGTCATGAAACACTTATTAAAAATGTGTTGTTCCTGAAGTAGTCAGCTCTGCACTTCTGTGGGAGCTAGGATTCCCTGGGTAACGGGAAAACGTAGGTAGTATGTTGCACTGCAGAGCTGCCATGTGGGCTGCGTTACTGCACTGCCCTTCAAGCTGCCCCTGAAAGGTCACTGAGGCATCTCTGCATCACGCTTCAGACAAACACAAGGAGCCATCATAAGCTTGGCATTGCACTGAGCGAATACACATGGCTGGGGGCTGGAGCGTTGCGGGTGTGCGGCACAAGCAGAGCCACAGGGCTCTGCCCAGGGCAGCCCGGAGGTACCCAGTGCTCCAGCTCCAGCTCAGCGTCAGCCTCGCAGGATGAGAGCTGGCTCTCTGCAGAGAGCCTTATGGGGCTGCCTGCGTACAGTTTTCTCCAGCGGATCTGGGGCAGCGTGAAAGCCAATCCCATCCCGTGCTGTGGCACAGAGCCAGCACTGATCTTTGAGGTTTATTGGAATGGGCTCTGCTCTGGGCAAACACGGCAATACTGCTTGTCAACCACAGCTGGCAGTGGAAGCAAGATAGCTGCATTCAGTGCTGAGCTGGGGTCTGTAGAGAGCCAGGCTGTGTCCTGCTGTTCATGGTATAATGAATTTGTGTTGCAGATGAACTGCCCGTGATAATTATGTGCCTATGACAAAAGCCTCAGCTACTTATTTTATGTTTGTGGCAAAGGGAACCCAGGCTCAAACCCAGGCTCCCTGTTCATCCACGCTGTCCCCATGCTAGCTAAGCCTCTGATTCAAGTCCAGTTCCAGCTGACTTCATCTTCAGGTAGACAAGCTTGGAGCATGCAGAGGACCTGTGTTGTGTTAAGCTGTGGATGCTGCGAACATCATAGTCACAGATAGTTCGAGCCAGGTATGCTGTTGACATTGAGTATAGGAATCAAGGCAATGCAGACTTTAACATTTCAGAATTGTCTGTAAATGTAAAAAGGCACTTTAAAGCCTGGACCAGTTATTGTGACAACCAACCAGGAGTTAAAAGAAGAGCTTGTTGAATTATTATATTTGGTATTGACAACAATGTTCTTTTTTGCAGCTGTTACTCTTCCTCATTTCTGTTTAATTAATTTGTCTTTGAAAGCAGCTCTCAAATTGACTTAGAAAGGCAGAAACTTCCAAATATATGAATAAAATGAGGTACAAGAAGTAGGATCTAGTACCTTTAAAATCTTGAATTGCAAATAAACTAGAAGAAATCAGTTACATTACTTAATTATGGGGAATACATTCTTAGTTAGCAACCAAGCTTTTGGTCTTAAATCTGTTCTGATTAATGAAAAACACTTTTCAGGGTAAGAATGCAACTCCAATTTCAAATGGAACTTGACATAAATCACAAATTGATCAGCTGCCTATAATTTAGTTGTTCATCATTTTCAATCGTTAGACTGTACAAAAGCTAAGGATTTGAATAAATCCATGCGACATAATCACATAATTATATTAACATATTTGCAGTGAGAAGGGAAAATAAGATTTAAAATAATTGTTTAAGTAAAAGGTTTTTTCTTGATGCTTTAAACTATGCTTGGAATTGTTCTAATCATAATCAATCTTTTCTGGTTCCTTGCATAGATGGATAGTAATCAGATTTTCATTTGCAGCTTCTGTAGATCTTTCATGTTACAACAAAGATAGAATTTTAAAACAGAATTGTTACTGTAAAAATCCCCAAAGCTCATGGAGGAGCTCAGAAAAAAGGTAGTTTCAGGCACTGAATCTAACTTCATTGATAAAAGAACATTTTGGTTTCAGAGTGCCGGCAGTCATTTTAAATTTGTGTTTATTGGATTTCACTTCTGTTTGAATGCTAATGTCTGAAGAGTTGAACTAACAAATCTTGTTTGATTTAGTAATTTTATTGCCAGATGTTCAAGAATCAGAATTAACGAATCTTTTGAAATGTGTCAGAATTAAATTAATCCTGAATAATCTGAATGTGTTCAAATTTAGAAAAAACAAATGAAGTTATAAAATAAAATGTATTGAAAAGCATTAATATAGCAGTAACAATTTGAAGGAACTCTGCTTCTACGATCTAGGGAAAATATGATTTAATAACATAAGATTAAGAATATTTGTATTCAAATTTGAATCTGAAACAACTAGCGAAAAAATAAAATCTAAATATTAACATTTAATGTTTATGAAAAGTACTCAGAAATTTTGATCTGGATCTTAATCTTTGGAGATGTTAGCCCTCATTTTCCTCCTCAAAAGTCTATTGACATGTAAATAAAGGGTGTAATCTCAGTTGTTCTTTCTGTTGTGTCAATGATTATTCTATACTATTGTTTGGTACAGCATCTAGCTTTCTCTGTAGAGAAAACTGTGTGAAAGAACTCCTGGATCCTGTAGTTGTTGGACTTTACACCAGACTGATAATTGGAGTCAGAGTAAATCCACAAGGAGTTTTTGCAACAGTAAATATGTGTTGGGAGTTTATTTACTCCCATTTGTAAACAGGCATGGTAAGGCAGACCTAACCCTTCTTGGAAATATGTGAAAAATTAAATTTTGTCACCCTTTGGGTGACAAAAAAAGGGTTTTTTTGCCCTCATCACGAGTGGCAGAAAAATTGAATTTTGTGTTGACAGCATGGTTTAGGGAAACTGGGAGGGGGCAGTGGTGAGCACTGCCAGTGCCCAGGTACTGAGGAAAAAGCTTTCTTCAAGCAATCTGCTACAGAGGCAGTCACTTACTTTGTGAAGAGTTGTATTTAAAGTTATCACATATGCTAACTACACTTTTCCAGTGTTGTTGCCTGGACATATATTTCTGTGAAGTACAATAGCTACAGCAGTTCAGCATTTTCTGTAATGTTCTTCCTGAATCCCACGGGGGGGGGGGGTGGGGAAATATATATATATATATATATAAGGTGGTGAGAGGTTTTTTTGCTTATTTTTTTTTTCCATTATTTCCTAAATGATAAATATGTCAAAACATTTTTAAGATAAGAAGATGGGAGCTGATGCCTAGAATTTCTCTCTCAGGTTTTATCCTGGAGGTAGGAAAGTGACAAGCAAGACAACTGACAGCAAAAATATTTAGCAATCTCTTTCTTCCCTTTGCCAAAGTATTGCTCTTTTCCCCAATTGATTTTCTGTTCCGGTTGCTGTTTCTAACTTGATCTGCATGAACGAGAATTTCTTGTTTAAATAAATATATTTGAAATGTTCAATAGTAACAATGATGGGAAAAAAAATCTTGATGCAATAAGAAGAAATGTTCTTTTTATTATCAATATTTGAACTTTAGATGGAAAAGATGAAAGTTTTCTTTTCCTTCTGTTTAAAGAAGTATCAACAGATAAAAAATACAAATTCATTTGTAGATGAAAATAGCACTGACAAATCTCAGGTGCTGTAACTCTGAAGCTGCTCAGTTCCCCAGACTTAGGAACTCTTGGGAGAGGACAATGCAGAATACGTTCTCTACTAGTAACGATGTTGAAACCACATCACTGAGTAAAGAAATCTTTCAAGCATCTTAGGTCCTGAGCAATTACTGAGCTCATAATTCTTTATCAGATCCATTTGTCTTGAGATACTGAAATAAAAGTATGACAAAGATCATTAAACTGCTAATCTAAGACAGTGTAGTTTTTATTATAATACTCTCTAATATATCTTCAGAAACATGATTATTGTTGTGATGAACCTTAACTTTCTCCTGATTTAGTTATGTATTTAAAAGTTTCAGATTACATCATAGCATTTTATATTTCTTTCTTTTTTTTTTTTATTTTTTTCCACTTTTGCAGATTGAATTGCTTGTTTGTCACTTTCCTTGTCTGAACAGTTCTTCTCTTTTCCTATTGCTCCTTTACTTTTTCTGTTGGGGTGCATTCAGGCATGCTATTATCCTAGAGGCGTTATCTGGTTTTGTGGAGTTGAGCATATTTTGCCACTTTGCATAAAAAAACACATTAATGGGAAGCTTGCAGCATCTTAGATCCTCACATCCTCTCATTGCTTGAGCTTACATCTAATTGTAGGTATTAAGGTAGTTCATTTGCATATTGTGTAGTGAATAAACACAATACCTAGTGTAGGGTAGGTTCAATGCAAGAATATTAAGCAAGTACTAAAAGAAATAGGACTGACTTCTGATTAAAGCGGGCTATGTATACCTTGTTCTTTACATATACAGGTTATGGAGGTGGCTACCGCTACATCTTCCTTTTCATGTGCATGCTTCTGCTGTTGTTACACCAGAATGAATTTTGTAAACAAGGCTAAGGGAAAAGATAACTCTGGGTGGAGTAGTGGATAAAAAAAAATAATAAAAAAAAAAAAAGGTGGAACAATTTACGATATAGGGAAATGGATGGAATAGTCTTCTAAACTTTAAAGTTATCAGAGACAATCCAACACCAGCAGAAAGTAAAATGAAGACTTCCATTCCCACAAATGTTTTTGAAATATAAAATTCTGTACAAGCTTTCCAAGGTGTTACTTCTACTGATAGTGAGACAATTCCAGATGAAGAGATATAAGTAAAAAACAGCTTAGCATTAGCATTACTTGCAGCCATAGCTACAACATTACTAGTGTATGATACATACTGAAAAACAAATAACCCTGAACCAAAATGCTTTTGCAAAATACTATGGTTTGTTCCAGACTAAAAGGTAGGCAAAATATCTGACCCGTAAGTTCACCATTTTACCACTTACAGGCAGAACTGCACGGTCTGTGTTTGCAAATGCTTGGAGTTCTGTTGATTCCATACACTCACTGGATAGTTCATATGCCACTACCTTTGTAAGTGTAGAATACTAAATTGAATACTTAACACGACCATGTAATTTTTAATTTTTAAGAGAAATATTCAGTATTTATCAATAACATTTTGGACAGTTATGGTGTCTTAAAAAGAAGCTTTATTCCAAAGATCTCAGAACTAAATCATGAACTTTGAATTAAGGGATATAATGTACAGGTTTATAATGTATCAGTGTCAAAGAATATAATGTATATATTTTAATACCAGAAAGACCTATGAGACTGTGTGCAGCATTACAGATGAGGTAAAATTAAATAGAATTTCATCTTCTTTTGTCTTGACATGATAACTTTAAAAAGGGAGAAGCCAAATATTCTGGTGCCAGTGTGTAATGACCCTCAATTTAAAAATATATGTCTTATTTATTATTTCAATGCGTCTAGCTTTATTTTATTTCATTAGCTCTAGTTATATTTCTTCTTTTGCTCCTGTCTGCCTAAAGAGATGTAATTGCTCCCCTAAAACATTTGTATTGACTGAAACTACTTTATCATCTAATGAATCAGCAAAGCACTAACCCACCTGCTTAACATAAAGGATCTTTAAATCAATGAGACTTTAATTAAATAGATGTTTAAGGGCTTCATTGAACAGGGACCTTGAGTTGTCACATATCAAATAGACGATATATTTTTTTGTTACCTGTCTACACTGTGGCTTACCCTTATCACAGAAGGGAACAGTTGGCAGTCATAGGTTTTCTGTGTCACTGCTACAAATAAATAAGTAAATGCTGTGTCTCAACTCCATTTTGGAATTTTTCTTTACTGCCAAAGTTTACTAGTTGATTTTTACTGAGTTTATTTTTTAATACTACATACAGCATTGCACTTGTCCAACTGATCTCTCTGCTTCTTCAGGTCCAAGCCATGCAAGTTAAGCCAAGCATTATTTGAGCATTATCAGTGAGAGAGGCCAGTTTCTAGGATTGTGATAAGTTTCATTTTTGTTTTATTTTATGTGTCTTTTGTTCTATAGTGTAATGAAAAACCTTGCTAATGTAGAGCAAACTCTGGGATGAAAACAAAAGTTTTTCTTTGAAATGGATTTTAGAGAGTAGAG